GATACAATTATGTGTGTTGTTTTACAATATATTTGCGATATTCTCAAATATGTGAGCAATGTTTTACACATATGTTTGACATTTCGAGCTATTTGTATTCGATGGTTCATCGGTATGTTTGCATTCGATCTTTTTGCAATATGCATTTGATGTTTCCCTTTTCATTCGATGTTTCGTTAAGAGTCAAAGTCTGGTTACTAGACCACGAAAGTCTGACTATTTTGTCAAAAGTCAGTGTATGAGACGTCAGGGGATCGCGTGAAGTAATTAGAGCCAGACCTAAACGGTAAAAACCGGAATTGTGGGTAATTCTTTAAGCATACGCAATGCGTTCATCATTGTTTGGGCAGTACCCCCAGCTGTGCCTGTACTACCCATAGTGTTGTGTGCATCATGAAAAACATCGCACACTTATATTGAACATCGCACATAAATGTAAAAGATAACAAACACATAATGAACATCCAACATATATATTGCAAAATATTGAATATTGCAACGTTTGACACGCCATATACGTATGTCTGTTCCTTGAGTGCTAGGTAGCAATAGTCTAGGGTGTGTATATGGCATTTGAGATATCTTGCTGGCTGCCGTTTTCCTTGCTCCATGCTGTATGTGAATGGAAAAAAAGCTTGGCAGTGCAACCTCAGAATCATGACTTCTACGTTTTATTGCGTCATTTATATGGCGCGCATGAAGATCGAGACCTATTGTCAAGTTTCTGCAAGAATCTTTCAGTTTGTACAAACCACATACACCGTGTAGTCACATGCTAGCTAAAAGAACAATCGCTAGATCCCAATTTTCTAAAAGTGCCATCAGCCTTTAATATATATGCTTGATGTGTAGGGCCTACTATACAGCGTGTCCCAAAAAAAATGTCCCTCTGATAGACTGCTTAATTAATTCCAAAATCAAGTATTATTCTCAATTGAGTGTTCAGATTTAGAAAGCCCATTTAATTTTGTAACTTTTGTGAAAATTTCATTGGTCTCGCTTCATTGCTTTTGAACACACAGTCTATTATGTAACAGCAGTGCTTTTCAGCCCATTCCAAGTTTGCAGGTGGAAGGACGTGCAGGGGGACAATAAAGGTTTACAAGCTGGACATTGAAGAACAAACCCTAAGTGGAACACACCCTGTGAAAGCAAACATGACCAGTGGAACTGAACTTTGATTAGTTTTCATTTAAAAAGTAAATGAACTTGACTTTACTTACTCAATAACAAAAACAACAACACAGTTGTTGAATTAAAAGTGAAGCATGGAATAAGGTATAGTATGTCTGTAGTGTGCATTTCTATTTGTCAAACTTGGAATGGGCCAGAATGCACTGCTGTTACATAAAAGCCTGTGTATTCAAAACCAATGAAGCGAGACCTTTGAAATTTTCACAGGAACTACAAAATTAAGTGGGCTTTCTAAATATGTAAACTTATTTGAGTATAAAACTTGATTTTAGTAATTATTCTGTTGTCTATGAGAGGGACATTTTTTTTGGGACACGCTGTATACCTGGATTTCAAACCACCAGTGCCGAACAATCTACATGTATACTCGGCACAGGCAGGCCCGCGTGTCTCCGTGTTGGGCAAGGATTTATAGCTCCATGGTTTTTCGTGGTTCAACAGATGGTTAGAAATTTCCGAATACGACCTTGGACCATTCTGACCCCTTACCCGGCCCCCAACACTTAATACCTGCCTGCCGGCGCGGCCGGATAAGGCACAGATTCTACGAAATTACATGCGTCATGATCATGAGGGAAATAAATTTATTCCAGGTACAAGGAATTTGGGAGTTCCGGATGTGTGGGAAATGTTCGTCCCTAGCCCAAGCCCAGCAGATTTTCAAAGAGACGAGGCTGAAATGGAAGCAAAAGGATTCTTGTAATAGGTTACAGTATTTTCGCAATTATGCGAGTCTCAGTTTTGAAGTTTAGCCTCGATTTGGTTCTACGGTGCAACTCGCAGCACATACCCAGTAATGAATTTTGCACGGATTCGGAATCACCATTATTGGCACATGCACAAAAACCGAGGCTGCCCTTGAAAAACAAAGACTATAAACTAGGTTGATAAGCTGCTAATCCATTCACTTTTCCTTCCATGCTTACACTTGCCAGCCCAGCATGCCTGTGTAGTGCCGTCTCGCTTCATGCTGGATGCTGTATCGGAATGTGCGGCTTTCAGCACGGAAAGGAAATTGCTCCATGGCGTGGTTTCGGAGAACAAGAACTTACTGTTGTAGGTCTACAGCTCACATCTAAAATTCTACAAGGGAGGTCAAGGCCTACACACGATACCCGGTTCATGGTCATAAGCGTATATTTTGGTACACCAGAAACACGATTCTATGATCCACGTTCCAGATCCAATCTGCAGATGTTATTCTTACAGTTGACCCTTTTTTTTTTAGTAAGATCGAAGAGTTCCAGAAACGTATACTGTCATTTCTGACAATCTGACGTGTCCACTAAATTTTGAACGGGTTTATACCATCTGCACTGCTTCAAGTTAAACAACTTAAAAGATCCTTCAGATTGAAAAGAATTTGTTTTGGGTGCGACAATTTTGTAGAGAGGGAAAACTATCTGTGCAATTAACAGTTTCTGATGATGTTCCTTTGGAAATCCTTGAAATCTGCAGTGCGCATCCACAATATACAATTGACTTAAAAGTTCTGACATCTGTGACCTTTTCATCAATATAAATCTTTGCTTCAGTTTCGTTCTCTTTTGTTGAAAGGGGGCCGGGAACGAATCAAAGCCTTGGTTGATTTTCAAAGGCAGATAGAAACATTTTAGTACTCGTAAATTAATTAAGTACCTATTGATGTAGATGTAATGAGAAAATAAAATTGCTTAAAGTGAAGCCTTAGGGCTGCATGAACCCAAGTAGTGTACTCTGTGAAATTATTCAGCCAGAAATGGATCCGATCGAAAAAAATTATTCATGTGAAAGTTGTTTCAACTCGGTACGTGCGCCGTTAGCGACTGAATCAAGTTACGACACCAACAATTGCGCATATGAAGTCTCTTTTTCTCAAAATGTAAAGTAGCCACTGATGGTTAACTCCAACGGATTAGTTTTTACGCACCCTACTCAAGATTTTGAGCAATGTTCCTTCCAAATGAACAAATTGCACTAAGAGCAAATGATTATGTTCCTTTAATGTGGCGGGGTCAAGCCGATGATCCCCGGCCCAATACGTATATGTTCCCCAATGCTTATATACACCGGAACCCTTAGGGGTAGGGTTAGGTTTTGTGGGTTAGGGTTGGGGAACATAGGTATTGGGAACTCGACTTTGGTATTGGGGAACATAAATATGCACCCTAATGTCATATGGCTTCCCTCCTCTGTTTAATACAACGCACCCGAGTAAAACACATTTCAGTACCACACACTACCGATTCGGGTGAAATAGCGCCGTCTCAAAAACTTCTACAAATAAACATGCACCGAGTTGAAGATTGATATACGGTCCCCATTAGTGACACTGTTGTGACACTGTAATTGTTGTCCGTGACCGCGGAAACGCTGTGGTTTCAGCGGGCAGGCCTACCGACATGCCGGCACTTGCGGCTTGGTTGTTGACATACACGCGGTGCGGTTTAGAAGCTTTAGGAAGATTAAAACAAGTACTTCAAAAAATAAAGAACCTCAAAAAGCCGATGCTGAAATTTGTTTATTTACAAGCCTTTTATTTACAATCCAATCAATTTCACAAAGTAACTTTCTGATGAAGGCAATTGATGAGCACTATAAATAGGAATAGAGCTACATGATATAGAGGAAAAGTACTGACAATTTACATATAAGAGGTGACCAGTGACCACTTTCCTGCTGTGATATTAGCAACACCAATTTTTAGGTGGCTTGTTTCCAAACCTAACGCTACAGTACGGCAGAGAGGTGATGGGATTGTGCCTTTGATGATACAAGCATGGCATTTGACATACAGTCAGAGTATATCATGAGAAAGATATCTGGCAATATATGAACTGGGCTTTATGGAACACATTTTCCTGGTTCTGAGGAAACAAAAGTCAACTACACTGGCTTGGTTTTGGCCCGTGGCCCAGATTCCCCGTCAATTAAGCTGATCTATCCAAAGCCTCCAGCTGGAAAAAACCCACGACCTCAATTGACCCGCGACAACCTGAATTCACAGAAGTGTCACTGACTTCTGAAGATCGAAGGTCCCGTAGTGTTAAGTGATCAGTTTCTTTGATGGGTTAGTGCAACAGAAGGGAACTGTTGTCGTCTCTGAAATGGAGTTGATTTAACTGCTACTGTGTACTCGCTGGTTATCAGTTAACACAAAGGGAGGGAATAAAGGTATAGGCCTTGAGAAAAACAAAACAAGTGGGTAAGAGAGAGGGTGTTGACCAGGGAACAAATAGGGGGTGGGGGGTTGGTAACAGTGCCCAATTTATTTCAGGATTTCATCTCCTCATCTGATGCATTCTCACATGTAGAACATTTCTGACAGTACAGCATTTTGGGACACCACCAACATAGGGCTGGATAGCTTGGTTGGTAGAGCACCGATACAGTACGGGCTCCTTGCGCAAACAAGAGAAGGCGCTTTTTGAGAGCCAAGTTGGCGGGACACAGCATACTGGTTTGCACGCAAATAGCGTGAAATAGGCCCAACTAATTTCATTCCGAATGTGCACAATGCCATATAGCGTCTTCACATTTGCATCAGGTGTCATTGGCAATGCGTTTGAATGTCTGTCCCTGCCAGTGGTCTCCCCCAACTCTCTTACTTTTACCGTTGAGGGGGTACTTATGCACGGAGACCATTCCAGTTCAAATCCTACTCCAGTTATTTTAAATTCTTTGTTCAACTTTATAATTTGTATCATATTATGGTGGTTTTGTGAGACCACTTCTTGTTTAAATGATTCAAATGGCGTATTACTTTGATCACTGAAACATTTGTTCTGTAGCCTTTGTTAAAAAAACTGTTCATGTCAGAAAAAAAACTTCATGTCAGAACTGGCATAGAGATACAAGAGGATCACCTAAAATTGTAACCTGCCATCAGTATCATGTACGTTAGACAAGGCTAGGAGAAAATGTCCAGGAGTTTGAATGAAAAACCATGAATTTTCAGTATGTCACTCTTGTAGATGCCGCTTTCAAAGAAGCAGCCATGCACTAACTGTTGTTGGTAATTCTCCTGACATCAGATGTGTTTAAACCACAACGGATCTCAAATTGGAAAGAGATGAGTTGGGTCAACAAGTCTATGGTATTCTCTGCACCACTTGAACGCTGTAGTACATATATTAGGCCATTCAACATTATTTTCAGTCATTATTTGAGCACAATGTGCACAGAATCTGCCCCATTATGCAATGGGCAGAATCACTATTGTCATTTTGTGCCAAGCGAAAAAGCCTTCTGAAGATAGCGAAACGTTTTTTCAAGGCGAACCAAGTTTGTGTTGGCTGCCTTGTCAAGCAGATTTGGTTGCTCTTCTGTAGAAGGTTCTGTTCAATGTGGCCCAGTGTCTCTCGTCTATCTCACAGGTCTGCTGCCCTCTAGTGGCGACTTCAGGTCATCATTATGAAATTGGTCTTGCAGTGAACTGCGGGAAAAACAATGAACCAGAAAGTATTACTGCAATCAAAGTGACTTGAAAAACTTAATTTCCACCGAACATAGGGATTTAACAAATCTGACAGAACACTCTCATGAGTGATGTAGTCCAGGTCAATTCTGAGACCTCACACAAATGCTTTTGTATAAATAAAAAATAAGATTTGATTTACATCAAACTGTCTGCAAAGACTTTCAACACACAAATCAACTGTGTTGTTCTAATGATGATGCCGGATTTAAAATTATCATTAAATTCAGGCGTTTCACAATGCAGTGCGCCACCAAGGGTTTGCCGTGGAGAGTCCATTTTTCAAGTTTACGGCCAATTGGAACGAGTATCAGTAGACAACTTAAGCTAATTTGTTAAGGATTGGGGCATAGCGTTCTGCCGCCTTACCAAAAACCCATATTGATAAAAAGAAAAGAAAAGGGCAAACAGATACTCGAATCATACGCTTATGAAACTACTGACTGCACAAACTAACAATTTCAAATAGCCCGCGCTGTGAATTTGTTGACCATCTCACACAATGCACTGGGAGAAATGAACTCTCCGTGGCAAACTCTTGGTGGCGCACTGCATTGTGAAATGCCCGAATTGGGGCAATGGATCCCTAAAAAGGACTCGAAAGGTCTTGAGGTCTCATTGAGATTTCAGCTCTAAAAAAACAAGCTTTTACCCGACAAAAAGTTGACCAAAATATCAGTATTCTTTCATGTGATTATGAAGTTATTGAAAAATCGGGGCACCTGATCACTGACCACTCTGGCCCTGGTCAAGGCATTCATCAATAGTGTCCTGGATGATCGATGACCGACCACTAACATGAACACAAGCCGCATGCTATGCATTCTATGAAGCACGAACAGCGACCTCACGCGGCTAGGCTAAATATGCAAATCAGTTGGTGCCACCCCAACGCCTTGGACCAACGGTTGGCATTGGCTTATGTTTTTCTGTAATTTGTCACTGGATTTCCAGCAATGACCTCGCATGTGAATACAGATGAGATTAATTCAGTATTTGGTCATTAACGTTCATATTTTTACATGGATAGAGAGCTGGATCATGTGGCTACATTCTTCAACAAGTTTGGAGTCGCAGGCCAAATTTAACAGGATATAAATCCAGCGACAAAATAGAGACAAAAATAAGCCAATGCGACCGTTGTTCCAAGGCGTTCGGTCGGCACCAATTGATTTGCATATTGTAGTCTACCCTCTTGAGGTCAATGTTCACACTTCGTACAGTGCATAGCGCATGGCTAGTGTTCATGTTAGTGGCAAGTCAATGATCATCAAGGACACTATGGACAAACGTCTTGACCAAGGCTATTTACACCCATGCGGCCCCCTTCAATGGTGAAACCATTGTCCACACTATTGTACAGAGCAACTACCACGTGACGGATTATCTGGACAATAGCTAACACAATGTTTTTGCATGGATTGGTCTACAGAATACTTACTTAAAGGGAATATACATCATTTGCTTTTGCTGTAATTTTCAGAAATGGATGGAATTGGGGGTTGGAAATATATAGCAAATATAGTTACACTGACTTTTTTGAGGTTTTGGGTTCGAAAATGCTATAAAAACCAAGAAAAACAATCATTTTCCTGTAGTCTGGTTCCCTGACTTCATATCAGAAGAAACAGAGCAGTTTACATACATTGGGGAATTGTAAGGTCATGGAACCAGTATAGCTGGCTTGTACCCGTTCATAGGTGTGTAATCGATTGCAAACAAGTGCGATGGTCAATTGGGGCCAATATTTGAAAAAAAAAACAGTTTTTTTCCAACGCTGGTCGGCCGACCAGCGTTGGAAATTGATACAAAAATACCACTTTTCTTGAAAATGACAGTATACCAGGTGCCATGATTTTACAGGATGCTTTACACTGTCATTCACTAACAGTCCAGCAAGGTATTTCAAAATGATTTGGTAGTTTTATTTTTTGATGTTTGCAAATGTTGTATTTTCCCTTTAATTCATTTCGTATCTGAAATTTGCATAATTAATTGAAAATACGAGGTCTTGACGACATCACTGACTCTCACATTCTTACCAATGAAATTGGAGACTGGATCTTTGCCGTCCTCATTACGTAATGTCCCCGTGATGTCCTGGTTCTCAATGATCGGCAGGAAGAGCTGGACAAACTCAGAGGTGTAGGGCGGGGCAATCATGTCCAGCACCTGGGTCAAAGGTCAGAGTGCAGACAATTGATTTAGTGTATGTCAGAACATGTAGAGTGTGTGTATGTACATGGCTACTAGAGTTCTCCATGGTGGAGAATAAAATTGGTTTCAATATTAAACATTGAGACATAATGTCGTTCACACTTTGTACGTGTGCGCTTTCCCATGGGAGCCACATAGGGACAAGAGCGCCATGCTCTCATAAGAAAGCGCACATGTAAACAAAGCAAGAAGTCATTATGTCTCAGGTCTAATGAATTGAATTGAATTGAATTAAGAGGTACAAAGAGTGTAAAAGAATTTCAAGGTTATGAAATGTTGCTCTTCGAAAATCGAGCATTCAGAATGCTAGTCGTCATCCACGTCACTTGTTTCTTTTCAAAATGTAAACAAACTTGTTTGCACTGGGACTAACATGTTCATAATTCTGAAATTAAAATATAGCATGGGACCTGACATCTCACAGTAATATGTCACTTGTGCATTTTTTTGCGGTGACAGACTTAAATTGACAATTTGGCTTCATTCACCGTTAGAAATACGTATAGACAAGGCAAACAATTGTTTCTGCATCGGATGTAAAAAAAAAAGCCAACTATAAATGGTTACTTTGTTTGACAAGAGACTAACTTGAAATAGCCAATAAGTGACTTGGGGGAGAGGGGGGAGTTTCACTAGGCTTTCTCACCTCTGTCACAAAATGTCGGATGAGAGACATGTCTGTGTCTGAATCGTCTACACACTTAGCGATGTACTGCACAACAAGCACAACAAAGCCTTTGCTGAGAAGGTGCACCATGCGATCTAAAATGGTCTTCTTCAGTTCCATCTGCATCATGATGACATGAATGAGCAAGTTAGTAGTTAGAAGTAAGAACCCTTCTAAAAATTGAAATCATCAATTGTTATTCTGCTTTTTTTTTTCAACTGCTTTTAAGAAGCTTTGTCCTGACAATGTTCTCAACCCAAATCTCTTTTGGGGTGAACAACGTTTGAAAGTTGACAAATTTGTTTTAAAGTTTTTTGTAATGTAAGTTTCTTTCAATACTGCCACAGTTCTTGCAAAGTTTTAAATGTTCAAAAATTTCAAGGCAAATCACATTGACTAAAACTGCAGCCTACAGCCCAAGAACGCAGAAAAACCTGATCCATCGTGACTGGCAAATGTTTAATTCAAGTGATGCACAAAACAGAGAAGCTGTCCGGGGAGAGGGGGGAGGGGCACAAAACCTGCTTTTCACCTTTATGGGGGAAACTACTTGTAGACACTGCTTAACGGTATTCAGTTGCACTAGAATCTACTCCTCCCACTAAATATTGGAACATCATGCTGAACCCAAGCACGTCACTGCTTCATAAATAAATCTTAAGCTTTTTTTCACTCATAATAAGAAATTATGAAATACGTTCGACAAAAAAATGCACCTATTCAATTTCCCTTTGTGTATTATATGACAAGAGCAATCATTATACAGAAGGCTAATGCAGCAAAATCTTACATCTTGACATTGAGTCTGTGTTCTTTAGACGTTTTCGCATAAATTGAATGCCATGTTACTGTTTCCAGATTCAGCCTGCCTTTGCCATAGGGAACCTCACTTTTTTTGTAAAACAATCATAAAAAAAAAAATCAGCCAAAAAAAAGGTTTTTGAGTGTTACAATTCAAAGTGACTATGAGATAGTGACAAATACCAACTTTCCTCACCTTTGGAATTGCCTAAGTTTTCCAAACATGAGACCACTCACCTGCACAAGGACGTCCAGTTGTGGGTACGGATCTTCAAATAATCTGATAAGAAGTTCCAGGACTTTGCCGTGAATAAGTGGGTGGCAGTTAACAACCTTGGGGAGACAGAAAACAAAGGACATTCTGAGCGAGTGTCTTGATGCCAAGGCCCAAGGACCATTGGAGGGTTGTTGGTATGGAACTACCAAAAATATTCGCCTGAATTGGGTGAACGGTCCGAGTAAGTACCCTCCCAATGGTGACAAAGAGTGAAATTTGAAAGACACTTGAACAGTGTGTCCTGCACACTTGGGCACTCATGAGAAGGCCACATAGTGCCACTTATTTATCCTGCAAGGAACAAGTGTTATTTTTTTAACAGTCGCATAAAATCATTTGATTCAAATTTTAAAACTGCTGTCTTTCTTTTGAAATGAATGAAAAACTGAACCAAAAAAAATCTACCCTGCTTCAAATATGGTATAATTACTTCAATATGGTATAATTGCCCCAACAATGAATTCAGGCAGATTTTTTGTGTGCGTGAAGCGATGCAAATGTAACCCAACAGAAAAAGGTTCAATCCTCACTCCAGTCAATTACTTTGTTCAACTTTAAAAATAAGAATAATGCACCTAGTCAGTTTCCTTTTGTGGTTTACATGTAAGTTTACATGGAAAATAAGTTAAATTTGTTGGAGACGATGGGGACAGCAACTTTAAGGATCACAAGATTACCTTGCTTTGGGTACCGGTGGTTAATGGTAATCCAAAGTACAAACATTTTAAAGGAAATGTTGGTTGCAGAGGCCCTCATGAGAGTCGTAGGCTCTGCACAAGAGTCAAAGGAATTTCCATATTTGTCACCATCTTAATTTGATATTATTCCTGTTTCCACTCTTTCCTGTTAAATTTGAATGTTATTTCCAAGCACACAGTTTGTATATGATCTTGAATGAACATCAGTGTGCCAGACAAGGTCAAAGGTCACAAGGTGAGATTAGTGCCTACAGGGCTTATTTTTCATCATGATGCTAATGTTATTTTTCATCATGATTTTATTCTTCATATTTTTTTGATCTTCATTGTGGAGTGCTTGGGTCCAACGGTTTCAGTGTTCGACTCACGTTTAACTGGATTGGGATTCTAAGGGTTAATAAACTCTTTGGACCGCCATTCAAATATGAAAGAAGATTATTTACTTTTGTGTACACGTATGAGAGATTTTCGATTAATAAAGAAACTTTTCTGACTGGATCACTAGGGTCCTACCTCATCCAGTACAATGAGATGCAGAGGGGTGTGGTCAGTGATCCGCTGAAAGTAGGCGGGGTCTAGAACCGTTTTGTCGACCCAGTACAGCACACCCAGGGCTACAACAGGGTACCTAGTGGAAAGACAGGAGAGGAAATCCAGACACCCAAGCGTTATACACAGGCCTAAAATTGAGGCTCCTACTGAACAATTAGCAAGGATCATATGTGGTCACTTTCATTCTTAGTCATCTTAAGCATAGATTCCATGCCAACGTTGAGCTTAGGCAAACTGCACCAACAGAGCGCGGAACCAGGTTCAACTTTGCCGATCGTCTGTGAGATAGTTTTCGTCTGTCTGGGATAATAAATAACAAGTGTGCTTATATAGCGCTTTCCATCGTATCATCTCAAAGCGCTTTACAATTATTACCCCGCTCATAAGGCCATGGGACCATGCGGCAGTCGATATCAGCGCTCAATCGGTCGTCGACCCTCACGGGTACCCATTTATACTCCTGGGTGGAGAGAGGCAGTTGTAGTTAAGTGTCTTGCCCAAGAACACAAGCACCATGTCACTGGAACAGTTCAAACCCACGCACCTTCGTACATGAGCAAACATCGTAACCAATTGACCATGGTGTTCTACAACTGAGTTGTCAGTAACATTTGCGGATGAAATGTTTCCATGTACCTGCGCTACTTTTTTTCATTGCTCTCTGCGTTTATAACCTTGATATGGAAACTAGGCTTTAATAAGCCAGTTAAGTATTCCAACTGACTTTTTTTTGTACACAGTTTCAGGGCTGAGATTGTGAATAAATGAAAAATCCAAGGAATAATCAGCAGAGGGTTTGAGGATTGCCGAGGGTCCCAGAACATCGTGGGGTCCATGGTAAATATTTGTATAAATTTGCCAAAGGGCACCCCTAAAATACCATTTTCTTTTGTTCTATATACCTTTAAAGGTAAAACACCTTCACAGTAAAACCTCAGCATTTCCAGAATTCAAAAGTAATCTTTAAAATTCCTCAAATTTGGAAAAATCCTGACAAAAAATCCTGACTAATCTCACCCAGCAGTTTTTGGTTTTTTTTACATTTTTTAAGTTTTACATGAAATTGTTGAAGTGGATGCTATAAGTGATATCAGTGCAACAGCACCCTCAAGTGCCTGGAAAAAGTATTGGCAATTTAAACAGTGCCAACTAATGCACTTTTAAAACAACATTTTTTTCATGCAGTTACAGATCACAGATACAGTCACAGATAAAATATGTTTTGTTTTTTAGATTAATTTTAAAGGGAATGTGCATCATTGGCTTTTGCTGTAATTTTCAGAAATGGAGTATTTGAGGGGTTAAGTATTATATATCAAATATTGTTACACTAACATGTTTGAAGTTTTGTGTTCGAAAATGCTGGAAAAACCAAGAAAAACAAAATTGTTTAAGTAGTCTGGTTCCCTGACTCCACTAAAGATGAAATGGATCAATTTATAGTTGCCAGAAAATTGTAAGGTAAGGGAACCAGTCTAGCTGGCCTGCATCCGTTCATGAACATGTAACCAATACCAAACAAAATTTGGACTGAGAAAAGGGTAAATTTGGAGCAGTAGTTGAAATATAGTTGGAACCGACCACCGTTGGAAATGTATACAAAAATACCATTTTCTTGAAAATGACTTCACACCAGGTGCCATAATTTTAGAGGATGCTTTAGACTGTCATTTACCAACATCCTAGTAAGGTATTTCTTAAAAACTTGGTAGTTTTATTTTTCGATGTTTGCAAATGTTGTATATTCCCTTTAAGGTCCCCATGGACCTGTGCACAAGTACCCCCAAACGATGACAGAGGGCGAGAGACATGACAGACTCTACCACTCTGCCCAGAGACGCTAGGAGTTTACGCACATTCAAACAAAAATTATTTGTGAAAAATCTGCACCATATTTACATGTGTGCACGCAGCATGATGTTCCCTACTCGCTCTCGTAAGATGCCCACACAGTGCCATGTGTTATTTTAGCACTTAGTCCATAATGTGAGCCTAACCTAAGTAAACATTTCAGTCATCAAAGTTTGAGAACAGCCCAGTGGCCGAGAGCCTGTTGTACCTTATACACTGATAGAAGGCAGTCAGTTCAGCGGTCAGCTCGGAGCCCACTTTCTGATCACAGCTGCAGATGTTGTACACCTTATCTATGGCTTGGCACGTAGGCTTCAGTTCATCCTTGTTCAACGTAATTCGTTTGTCCTGACAAAAACAAATCAAGAGAAATCTGGTACACAATCAATGAAACAATTTCTTCCTTCTGAAATCTTAAATGATTTAAAAGCAACATTTGCAAAACAATGTAAATGTTAAAGAAGACAAGAGATCCTGCAAGAGGCGATCCTGCAGTGCTGAGGATGTTTACGACGAAAGCGTGGATCGATCTGCGATTTATTTTCTGTAAACACGTCACCCACGAACATATTAACTTTTCTAAACCAAGCATCTTTGCAATTTGGACACAAGGAATATGTACACGAAATTTCAGCTTCCTCCATCGGGTAAAAATATGAGAAAAACAAATTTTTGTAATTTGTTTCGCTGCGGCAGCAGAAGTTCATACCCTGGATGTCAGTCACAATGCAATGAAGACGTCGTCCAGCGCATCCTGGGCCCGCTAGGGTGGTATATAACAACGCGTATTTAAGAGACAGGGTACCACGCATAAGCTGAAATAAGGCCACTGAACATGAACACGAAAAGTCTGGAAATGTTGCCGAAAGATAGGTCACCAAATTAAAGCATTTTAACTGTTTATTTCATTAAAAAGGTATTTATTAATGGAATAACAGTGTGACGAGCCAGTCTTCGATCGATGATAATGACCAGCTGGGGCCAATTTCATAAAGCTGCTTAAGCACAATAAAATCAGGTTACTGGCCAAAACTGCATGCGATTGTTATGCTAAGTAAACAACAGCTAAATACCAGTCACAAGCAATGTACATCACATGGAGTTTTGGCCGGTAACCTAATTTTACTAAGCAATATTTTTTCGTGCTTAAGCAAATTTTTGGCTTAAGCAGCTCTATGACATTGGGCCCCTGCAGGTTGGAAGATGGCCGCTGTTAATGGACCGAGCTGAAAGCCGGTCATTATCACGCAGTGAAGACTGGGCCCTCACACTGTTCCCTAGTTGCAATGCAATTACTTTTCTGTCCTCATCAATTTCTTTTGCTTACCAGCTCAATGAAATGGTAACCTGAGTGTATTTGCAAAACTATAAATGCAGAGACTTGATTCAACAACCCCGCCGTTTTGTATTTACCTTTTTGAACGTCTCGTGCACACTAGCTGCATAGGCCAGTAGATAGGTGTACTTGTTTCTGTGTTCAGGATTGACGTTGGCTCCCGGTTTGAACAACGTCTGCTTGAAGAGCTCCATGAGCTGAGGGATTCGGATCAGTTCAACCGGCGGTGGGTCAGGGCCCATGTACAGCTTGAACAGCTACGTGGCAAAAAACATCAATTATTTAACAATATTTGACTGCTGTGATGTGGGACATGATCTTTGTTAAGCCGAGGGTTGCACATCACTCGAAGGTAAAATGGATAGTGCCATGATTCCTAAAGGGTGGAAAAAAAGGTGTCTAACATTACAGCTGTCAACAGAGTTGCAATGTTGGGTTTTGCCCTTCACCGACATATTTTGTAAGCGCTGTATACTCAGTGTTACCCCAAGTGATTGTGAGAAAAAAAATCACTCTGGTAGGACTCGATCCAATGACCTCCTCCTTACTAGCGCAGACGTCTTTAACTCGACCACCGAGCTTGCCTGGACGGCTGATTCGAATCTGATATAGCAGAGGGTACTGCAATGAAACTATTCTTAAGATAGAATTTGGGTCGGGGTGGTGTAAATTCAATATTGGGTTTTGCCCTTCACTGACGTAAAATACCTGAGCGATTGTGAGAAAAACTTCAATCAGGTAGGACTCAAATCCATGACCTCCTGCTGGCTAGCACAGACGATTCACCGAGTTTGCTCTCTCACAGACTCATAGAATGCACTCCACACTTCTGACACTCTTTTACACCAAGCACTTTACCATGTGTGATGCTAATGATGTGTAAGTTGGTACTTGACCAGCAAAATGATATCACATTCTTATTAAAGGGAAAATACAACATTTGCAAACATCAAAAAATAAAACTACCAAATCATTTTGAAATACCTTGCTGGACTGTTAGTGAATGACAGTGTAAAGCATCCTGTAAAATCATGGCACCTGGTATACTGTCATTTTCAAGAAAAGTGGTATTTTTGTATCAATTTCCAACGCTGATCGGCCGATCAGCGTTGGAAAAAATTGGCTTTTTTTTCAAATACTGGCCCCAATTGACCATCGCACTTGTTTGCAATCGATTACAAACCTATGAACGGGTACGAGCCAGCTAGACTGGTTCCCTGACCTTACAATTCCCCAATGTATGTAAACTGCTATGTTTCTTCTTTATATGGAGTCAGGGAACCAGACTACAGGAAAATGATTGTTTTTCTTGGTTTTTATAGCATTTTCGAACCCAAAACCTCAAAAAAGTCAGTGTAACTATATTTGCTATATATTTCCAACCCCCCAATTCCATCCATTTCTGAAAATTACAGTAAAAGCAAATGATGTATATTCCCTTTAATCTTCATATGTGACCATTCTAGACCAGTGCAATCACAGACCCTACTGGGGGTGTCTTTTACAGGTAATTTTAAAACCGGATATCTGTCGCCAGGATGATTGGGTAACCACGCACTCACACAACAAACACAAAAGTAAATGCTTCACACTGAACGGGACCAACATAGTGTTGCAAAAATGCCTCTGTAGCTAATTTAACACATTACATCCCAAGCTCTCCGTCAAGACTTCCGTCTGCGCTGGAGACGGTGGCGGAAGGCGTGCGCTGCAGCCGAAAGCTTCTGAAGGAATGCAGGATCACCCCTGATGTCATTGCACACCTCCTTGATCGTGTGTTGCGCCTAAGGATCGAGGAAGTGTGCAATGACATCAGGGGTGATCCTGCATTCCTTTAGACGCTTTTGGACGCAGCATGCACCTTCTGCCATCATCTCCAGCGCTGTATCGACATTGCAGAATGCCAAGTCAACAGTGGCAGATTCTGAAAGTGAGTATTTTTTTCCTATGCCGTTTAAATCTCACCGTCTTGCACAAAGCTGATAAAACTCGCTCCATAAAATTTGTCATGCCTTGCTTACATGATCTAAAATTGTGGGTTAATTCCATTAAACAACAGAGTTATTAAAGATCGAAAGTAGGACATTTTTGTTTGACACGTAGTACATATATGCAGCATGACTTACCACAGTTATGTCGGCTGTGTTGAGTGCTTCCCTACAGATCATAGACAGCAATGCTTGGCAGGCCTTGGGGTAGGCAGCAGCACTGCTCAACGCAAGGCTTATCTGGGTCACTCCCTCACCCCTGGAGATAAGAAACACAAGCCACCACACTTAACAGAGACTCTTCCTGAAGCTATCCGGTTCGTTAGTGACTTTGTCATACACGCGCACGCACCACTGATTACAAGCACCAATTGGCTGAACATTCAAGTTGCGAGAACTTGCGGTTCCATATGTGCTAAGCTACACCGTGTGAAGTATGCATGGTTAAGTTGAGATGGCGTCACACTAACAAACCAGATTGGCTCCGTGTACAACTACCCCCTCAACGGTTACAAAGAGAGAGTTAGAAACAGCATGCCTTTAGGTCCCTTAAAAAGCATGAGCAAGCCGCTGTGAAGGTTGAGGTCGCCATCAACAAGATGAATCAAATCCAGTCTTTGGAGTTGGCAACGCTACACAAGCATACCTCACACATGAGCATCTGCTTGAATGCAGCACGCCAAGGTATGCTAGAAATTTCCTGGGTAGCGCTGCCAAAATTCCCAAGACTGGATTTGATTCATGTTGCAGTGGCTTCATCACGCTTCTCAGGGACAAGCTACATTACGGCCAATTCATACTCAGGGCGAAAGCGAACGCGAACATAAATTTGTGACGTCAGGGCAAGTTTTTGCGCTGCGATCTCGCAAAAGTTGAACACATTTCAGGGAATGCTTTGTGACGTCAAATTTACATCAAATTCGCATCATATTCACATGAAGTATGAACCGGCCTTTAGGGGGATAAAATTCAATTTCCAATCTTAGATCAAAACTAGTTAAGTCAAGGACATAATAAAAGGGAGCTCTGCCATTTTTGCAAGTTTTTTTTAGTAATTCAAGTAAAGTATGAACACAAGTAAGGGGCCGTTCACAATTATCAACATTTTCACGAGCGTACAAACCGTACGCTGGGGGGGAGGGGGTTAATGGCCGCCGTACGCTTTTTTTTTTTTTTAAATGTCGATATGTTTTCTCGCCCGTCGCCACAGCCGACAGCCGCAACCGATGCCGATCGAGCACTTGCCGAGCCGGTCGCGCCCCGCGCCAGGCTCCGCATTGCATCCCATGAACGTATTGTGTACAGCATGCGCGGCATTGTCCTACACACGTACATGAAAATGTACCGTATGTACATGTATAGTCCGTATCCACTGCGTGTTTTTAACGGCCGGTGTCACATGTCATGGCCAAAAACTTGATCTACAAAAGTTACAAAAACCCTTGCAAGTGTCTATATATAGACTTGTGTGAAAAAAAAAACAACATGTTTTTCGTACACTTTTAGGGGGGGGGGGGTCTTGAAAAAGTGTACTCTTTGTACACTTGTGAAAATGTTGATAATTGTGAACGGCCCCTAATAAGTAAGGTAAAAAGCCTGAAACCCTGCCGTTACTGGAGGACCTTTAGCCCTGTGCATAGGACCTGTGACTTACTTGTTCTTGCCAGCATTCTGTACCTCCTGGTACAATCTTCGGATGATAGATCCTCCGTCTTTATCCTTGGCTAGGAGATGCATCAGCATCTGGGCATACAGGTAAGTATGCTCACCGTGGCACACCATCTTCTGTAGAGAGACAAGCAGGGGATAATGCGCTACTCGTTACTGATCTTATCTGGTATAAGAACAATTCTTTATGTCTAATCGTCTTTAAGGAGATTGCACTTTTTGACCAGCAGCCAATTTCAGGGAACTTTACGTAATGGCATAACTCCACTTGCGCCGCATTTTATTGCGTAAGTTGTGCAACATTTCAATTATGACACATTTCACGAAAGTGTTAAAGTGATCAAGTCAGTAACTTATGCAACAAATTATAACTTGAGTCAATCATTTTTGGTGGCGTAGGTTATGGCGTAGCAACTAAAAACGGACTACTTTACTGACTTATTTTGATCCTTTTACTGACTACTCGTGATCATTGCTCAATATTAATGTAGATGCCAGAAACTCACAGCTTTGTTTTTGTATTGTTATTTTACTTGAGAATGAGTTTTTAGAGTTGCGACATGATCTATAGCAAGTCGGTCAAAACCGTTTAAAAAGAGGCAGGCAGAGGTGATTCAATTTCTGTTTTGTGACCAAAGTGAGCGCAACAAACTGTATGTGTGCACAGGTTCACATGTGTATGGTGTAAAGTACACACAAATACTTTTATTCTGGATGTGTACAAGCTTTGGCATTCAATAATCTGTTTACCTGTAAATTGTCACTGTTTCTGACTCATTTTGCCAGCATGCCTCGCATATATTACCATTTTTATTGCGAATTCTGCAGTGTGCACAAACTTAAAGCATCAATACAAAAATTAAACCTAGATTAAAACTAGACAGACTGGATTAAAACAAGACAAGTTGTTTTCCGAGAACTACAGAACGGTGTCTGACTGTCAGTGACTCACACTAAACTCCGGCAGATGTTTGATGACTGCATCTTCACCGCCTTCCAGTAATTTATTGATTGTGGTTTGAAGCACTTTGGTGAAGACTTCAATCTCATGGCAAGCTGTGGACACATTACCGATCTCTCCCTGGTACCCGGCATCCGAGATCAACTGTGAATTGTACGTCATGGTGGAAATAGTAAAACTGGTTGACAAATGGGTGGTATTTTATCATCTAAAGGCGGGGGGGGGGGGGCATGTGACATCCTCCATTATTCGTTTTTGTCAGTAAAATCCAGACTTATATTCGAGTCACCAAACATATAGTTCGAGTCCAAGTCACCTATCTCGAGTCTGAGTCTGAGTCATGCAGCAAGAGTCCGAGTCACAAAGGTCGAGTCCAAGTCACCTATCTCAAGTCTGAGTCTAAGTCATACAGCAAGAGTCCGAGTCACAAAGGTCAAGTCCAAGTCCGAGTCCAAGTCACTATTAAGTACTACATAAACCTCGCAGTGTAAATTTTTCAATTTTTAAATTTTTTTTATATACAATTTTCAACAATTTAATGAACTGGAAATACATGTATAACACTTCGAAAAAACAAACCATGGGATAAGCCATTGAAGTAGATTGTCTTATCAAAATATTGTTGAAAAAATTAAGTGTTGAGTAGTAATTTTGGTCAGGTCCCGAGTCACGCAGGTCGAGTCTGAGTCCAAGTCCGGGTCCGCATGCAGGGTCGAGTCCGAGTCCGAGTCATTTGTCATCGTGACTTGAGTCCGAGTCCGAGTCATGGGAAATGGGACTCGAGTCAGACAAATGACCAGAAAAATATTCCTGACTAACTTCCTGCACGGAATGGTCTGTTGGCAGATGCGTTTTCACACCCTCCAATTAATAATAATAATAATAATAATAAGACAGTCTTATATAGCGCAAAACATAACCGAGGGAAATCTCAATGCGCTTAACAAAGCAAACATAGGTAAGCAAAAATTACAGTGAATGAGAGTAGGCCAATTGAAACAGATGGGATTTGAGGTTAGATTTGAAGTTGTCTATGGTTGGAGCTGTTCGAAGTGGGGATGGAAGGGCATTCCACAACTTGGGAGAGACGTGTGAGAATGCCTTTGAGCCGTATGATTTGGTCCTTGGTATAGTTGTTGTGAGGAATCCCTGGGAAGATGAACGGAGAGATCTGGGAGGATGGTGTGGTTGTAGCAGCTCAGTAATGTAGCTTGGAGCAGTTCCGTTTAGGGCCTTGAAAGTAAGCAGAAGGGTTTTGTAGCGAATGCGCTGCCGGATGGGCAGCCAGTGGAGGGATTTGAGGGTTGGAGTGATGTGGTTGCATTTCTTGGAAAGGGATACCAGACGGGCAGCTGAGTTTTGGATGCGTTGGAGTTTGTCAATTTCTTTGTCTGGGAGGCCAGTAAGTAGGCAGTTGCAGTTGTCCAGGAGAGATGTAACTAAGGCGTGGACCAGGATTTCGGTGGAGCGTTTATCGAGAGATCTGCGAATTTTGCCAATTCGCTTCAAAGCAAAGGATGCCCTTCGACATACAGCGTTGACCTGTGGACGCATAGTAAGGTGGCAGTCGAAAATAACACCTAGATCGCGGACTGATTCGGAGGGTGTAGCTTGGAAGTCGCCAGCAGTCAGATGGGGGATTTTTATGCTTCCTCTGGCATGAGATGAGGACAGATGGAGGACTTCCATTTTACCATCATTTAAGACTAGGTAGTTAGTCGACATCCATGCTCTGATGTCGCAGAGGCACTTCTCAATCTGTTGTGTTGCAAGATTTCTGTCTGAGGGTTTTACAGATATGTAGAGTTGTGTGTCGTCAGCATACATTGCATGGGAGAGACCGTGCAACTCGATGATGTCTTGAATTGGGGTTGTGTAACACACAAATAACAGGGGCCCGAGTGCGGATCCCTGTGGTACTCCCCATTTCAGGCTCACAGGATCGGAGCGCTCCTCTCCAATGATCACTGATTGTTGTCTTCCTGATAGATACGAGGCCACCCAATCCAGAACGCAGCCTTCTAATCCAAATCTGTGATTCAGACGGGTGAGCAGAATTGAGTGATCCACGGTGTCGAAGGCTGCCGTAAGGTCTAGGAGTACAAGAATTGCCTCGTCTTTCGAATCAAGACTTAGCAAGAGATCGTTATACACTCGAACCAGAGCTGTTTCAACACTGTAACGCCGTCTGTAGGCGGACTGGAATGTGGCAAACATTGGTCTGGCGACGCCCATGAGTATGAGGGCTAGATGTAGTTCTTCCTCGATAGGGTGGTGCAAAAAGAAGGAAACCCACTTTTGACAGGAATTGTTACCTACTTACTTAACGTATTTGAACAGGTTTTTTTTACAATGTAGTGAAGTATAGCTCTTTACCATATGTGGTGAAAAAAATCTTTTATAGAATTGCAAGTATAGTGTATTTATTATGCTAATTTGAATACAAGTCACCAAAATCACTGTTGTCCATGTGTAAGTCTAGTGTAGTGTTTTTGTCTTCAAATCAAGCTCCGGAGCTCAGTCAAGCAGATGGAATAAAGCCGTCCGAGGATAAACAGGTTTGGCACATGAAATTTTTAAACTACCATATCTCAGAGACAAACTATGCATTTGCAATAAGTTTTTCGTCACTTATGTTTAAAGATCAACATTTTAATACCATTATATTGAATTTCTGAAATATGCTAAACAAGTAGATGAAAATAGCCGTCAAAAGTGGGTTTACTTCTTTTTGCACCACCCTGTATACGTAGAACATCATGAATGTGGATTGGGACCCACAGCCAAGTATAACCCAACACTCCAATCCATCAAAATCCGTCAAATTCAGTCAAAATCCCTCAAGAGGACCGAGGAAGGTAGTGCCGAGTTACTGTTTACATGGGGCTTGAAGTCCCCTGAAAAAAAACTGCCATTGGTTTCCTGCACAGTGGAAGACAATGGATGATTTTCCACGATGGTTCATAAAAACTCCATGCAAACCCACCTTGATAGTGAAGTTCAGCATGAGGCAATCTGGGTGTGCCTCTGCTAGTTTGTAGAAGAGAGACCGCCACGTCCGATGCTGGATCATAATCTCAAGCCAAGCTGGGGTCTGTGGGGGAAAAAATTAATTGTTTCCAAAAATATGAATTGACAGAGTATTTTTATCCGAAATACGTGTTATGCATACAAATTGCGGACATTCCTTTTTGTCCTGCCCAGTTTTCTATGAACTTAGTTGAGAATATCCGCACGTGTAGAGCACAGGCCTCACGATCGTGGGATTGTGGGTTTGAGTCCCGCCGTGGCCATGCATGTTGTGCCCTTGAGCAAGGCGCTTTACCTCAATTACTCCTCTCAACCAAGGTGTTAAATGGGTACCAGCATTATTCAATGCTGGGAAGGTAACAGACTCGCTGTGGAGGAGGTGTGGCGATCCCCCCACAGCAGCATATGAGTCTGGCCCAATCGCTTTGAAAGAGAGATGGACACTCTGTTCCTGTGAACATAGGTTTGTCCACCTTTACTCTTTTTTTTATAACTTTTACTGAGTATATTGATGTGGAGAAAGTCAGGTAACAATGTAATCAGAAAAATTTCACTTCTCCAGATACCCACCAAAATCAAGTCTAGTGGTCAAAATGCTTGTCTACTGGTTTGCATTACCAACCACACTGGCAATCTTGTGATTTGACTTGAGCAACTATTACTGTGGTCAAGCAGGATTTATTTAAAATTGTAAGCCCCACTTTTAACTAACAAAGAAGGGGTCTTTTCTGGACAGACTTTTCAAATAGATCAGTCAGAACTTGTGATTCTTACCCCTCCTTCTTCACTGAAGATGGAGTCAGCCTTCTTGGGGTCAAAGTGCTTGATGATGAGAGCCTTGAGATGGTCCTCCACCATCTGCTGCACCTCAGTGGGATTTACACCTGGAAATAAGAATGAGTGGATAATGAATAAAGAACAAATGAACATAACCCTCCTGCTTATCAGAACAGTCACAGACAGTCAAAAAATCAACCCTCTTCCCTTGCCATGCCTTTTACACAGGCTAGTCACCAACAGACAGATCATATTTACAGCAAGTACTGTTACTAGTCAAATTCAGTCAACAGACAAAAGCAGGCCACTGGTAGGTTTATCAATCACATACAGTCATAGCATGGTTGTTCCAAGTTACATAAAAAAATTACAGAATTTAGGACTTGTAAGTGTCTCCCAAAATTTTGTTTAGGCGACACAAAACCTATTAAGCTGTTGAACAAAAATTCATATTATGGTCCAATATTGGGCTTTCCAATTGGGCTTCAGCTTTGGGAGCCTAGTTTAGCCCCATGACTCTGAGCGACTGTAGGTCTATTTTTCTTGGAAACATTAAATCCTATAGACGAAACAGAGTACATGATCACTGTAAACTCACAAGGCCCTCTTCAATGGAGAAACAAAGCAGCTACCTCGTGACGGATTATCTAAACATGTCCATTAGGTTTTGACACTCATCTTTAGAAAAAGTGATGACTACTATGAAAGAATAATGATTGTTTTTGTCTAGCTCTGCCCGTCTAGTGTCCAGACTTATTTATTTACCTGTGAAGATGAGCCACTCTGCGAACAGATTGACAGTCTGTGCAACAGCTGTGTAGTTTTCTGACAGCAGTAGGACGACTTGTTCTGGTGTGCCCCCGGCCTGAAAGTACCTGAGGTAATGAACCCACAAACAAATTTGTCAGATAGGTATACATGTACATCCACACGTACACACAACCATCTTTGTAAACACCAGCAATCGTGGACCCCTATTGTCGCTAATCCTTATTCCTTTGTTTGTACTCTGTCTTTTTAGCAGCAGTGCTCATTGGTTTTGTATACGATTTTCAGTCGTGTTCTATCGGTCAATCGTGGACGTATTTTTTGTGCCCTAACCCTTTTGTCCTAGGTCCACAATTGCTGGTGTTTACATACTCTAGCACATTTGTTTATGGGGTAAATCAAGGATTTTCTATTGTTCCTCTTCCCTTTCGCTTTGTTCTTTTTGCAACAACTCTCATTGGTTTTGTACACGTTTTCTAACCGAGGAGTCCTCAATTTGGTTCCCGTCCTCAATTCATCGATGACGTTGCACATGTTTCCTCGATTTACACAACAAACAAACGCAATATCAAACTCTCCTAATGTCTGAAAACGAGTCATAAACAGTCAGATTGAAAATGTGTTCAAGCACTGTGACAAGTCCCCTGGCTTCACTTTGTCGGGAAAAAGAAAACCTCCGGAACAGAGATCTCTAACCTTGCTGGTCAAACACTGAGGATCTTATATTTGCTTTATGAACATAAGAGAATTGTGTTGGCTGAAGAATGATTAAAGTTGGCAAGATGTTGTTTTGCCATGCTTTTCTGCACTTGAAGACCCAGTCTGGATGAACAGGTGCATATGTGAAATGCTAAATATTTGTATTTTGTAAACCTGTAGAATAGACCCCCTGCAAAGATAGAGCGCCCTCACTGAGGGCAGGGCCCAATTTCACGGCGCTGCTTAACAGTTAGCAGAAAAGTTGTGTTTAGCATAGCAGAAAAATATGCTAACCTTAAGCACTATTTCACGGCGTGGACGTGTTAACGGTCGCGCGCGCTTGGAGATTTCTATTGTTACGTCACTACGTTAAGCAAATTTTGTTCCTCTGAAGTAAGCGTGCCTTTTGCTGTGCTTATGCTTACGGTCTCCATGAAATAGACGGAGGCTCTGTTAGCATAAAATCGTGTGCTTACCAGCGCCGTAAAATTGGGCCCTGGTCTTTGTCCTTCTACTACACACATGAGAGCACACTTTGCACTTCCGTTGACATTGAATTTAAATAACAAAGTCTGTCCTTCGTGAGGGTGCTGTGCTGTGTGCAAGGGGTCAATGAAGATGTCCATGACATGTACTTGTCTATTGTCTAAGAATGGAAAAAAAAATCATATTAGTAACAACAAAATAGTCTCTTGTTATCTGACAGTGTTGTAGCCACATAAATGTGGCTCAAATACTTGCACGCCGATGATAGCAACATATGTGGAAAAATGTTTTGAGGAAATTGAAATGTTGTTTTCTCACTTGATATTCACTATGGAAGATGCTAAAACTAGTTAATAACAGGGACAAATTGAATTTTGATCCCGTAGATGTCTAATTGTCCTGCAATTTTCAGGCCAAATTTGCAAAGAGTTTGTCCAAAAATTAACGCAGTATTTTTCCCAAGGTCATGGGTCATGTATCTTTGACCTGTTGACTTTCCCTGGTTTATTAAGTTAATCTTCCGTAGTGAGTATTAAGTAAAAAAACAGTCCCGGTTTTGATTTGCTCAAAACAACTTTTCCACACATGTTGCTTTCACTGGTGTGTCGCTCTAAATTCATCAGTCTGAATTTGAGCCAGACTTATGGGGCGAGCAGTGATGCAGGACCATCACCGCTACTCAGACCTTCTTGGCCTACCTCTTAAGATCCTTGAAGACACCAGACTCCATGATGTAATCAATGCTGGCGAATGCTTTGAGGCATTCCCTCTGTATGGCCTCATCATCTTTGCTCTCATCATCCTTGTAAGGATCGGCAACCTCCTCCTGTTCCTCATCTTCGTCAGGATCCACCTCCTGTCCATCAAATGATGTGGGCAAAGAGTCAATCTGATAATAATTTTTTGAAAAATGTTAATTTGGCGTCTGAAGAAGATCTTGTTAAGATCGATACATCAGGCCACCTTAATTTTTTTTCAGTATAATTTTGGTTTGCTGTAAAATCCATGTGGTAATAACTAGTGTCACTCAGTGGATGTTTAGTTCTGATAAGAACAGTCCTGCTTAGTTCTAAAAAAAAACTTGTCTTTGGTCTCAACATTTCGACTAGCCTGCTCTAGTCATCATCAGGAGACTAAAAAAAAATTTTTTTATTTTTATAAATTTCACGCAATCCAGTCAAAAAGCAGTTTGCAGCAGTTTTATTGTTCTATTTTTATTTAATTTAATAGCCAAGTTTTCTTTACTTTTAATTAAATGCTTTTAATCAGTTAATGAAATCGTTCTTTTTATTAAGGCCTAAGTTGCTTTCATTTTTATTTTTGTAATCAGTCAATAGTCATGACATTGTCAGTTTTATTGTGAGATTTTTTAGGAGAAAAGGGCCGAGAACCATTCGGTTCATAGTCTGGCCCCAACAGCCAAAGATTCTCATGTTGAATACTAGTAGTACTAGTACTAGTACTTGTAGTAGTTGCTCAGGCATGTCAGGGAACCAGACGGTTGACTGCCCATGCTGCCGTATTGCTGCGTTCATGGAAATTCATCGATTGGATTTAAGTGTTGGTTCAAAACTCACCGGGTGTTCAAATTCCCAGTCGAAATCCTCTGTATCCATATTTTGACCTGCGTGTGGGTAGGCCTACCAGTATTAACTCAAGCTTGCTTGGCTGCTAACGCTGTATTCGTGCATTTTGTGCAGAGCTTTTTCCACAAGAGCTAGCACAAGGGCGCAGCCATCTTTTTTAACAATAGCCAATAGAAACAGGTCTTTCATGGGAAGACCGTATTGAAACGAGACGTCTGATTGGCTTGTGATCCTTGTTTGACCTTTGTGCTCAGCACAAAACGTTTTGCAGGCGGCGCGTCTCGTGTGATTTGCAAGAGTCTGAGGAGACGCTGTTAATTTCTGCAGAAATCCGCCGTCATCCATCACTTCAAAATGGTAAAATGGAGTTTATCATGTATAATGAATTATGTATTTACAGGATCTGTACCTATTTTGCAACATAAATGTAGTTCTGCCGGCAAATGAAGTAAAAGAAAAACCCACCAAATCTAAATAAAATACAATAGTAGTGTCAGTAAAATGTAATGTACATTTGAATGGAATGTATGGTCCAATGCTGTTTATGTAATTTATTAGTGTAAACATTGCCATGATTGCCATTGGCCTCCATCCTCCGTTAGAACTAAATTATTTTAGATTAGAAGGTTAAATTTTGTCAAAAATGTTGCCCACAAATGCACAATTTTTGGCCGCAGAAAAAAAATTGGTTTTTAAAAAAATTTTTTTTTGGGGGGGGGGCTATTTTGACGTTGGTGGCGCCACTTGGGGCCTACACCCCTATCAAGTATCATACTACTCAAAAATATGCCATTATTTGTTAAGAAAAAATAAAAATTATTTTCGCGTCGCGGTGAGCAGTAGTGCGTGCGGTGCGGTGATAGAGGAAAGGACTGGAAACTTGTCTAAAACAATGTCTATTTCTAGCTGTGACGGAAAATAGCCTTTGAATCATACGAAACAAGACGGCATACATGTAATAAAAAGCATATGCGTCAGTTGGGGAAAGTCAAACCTCGTCTCCACTTCCTGCTTCCTATTGGAAATGAGTTTGGAAATAAAGTAAACACTAGGGACGAGGTTGGCGTGAGTCCAGTAAATCACATGAATCAAGAGGAGGTCAAATTTCGTTCAAATGCAAGGTTTGCAGTAAAAGCAGATTTCAAGAAAGTTTCATATGTGACTTGTGATTGCTTATCACACGGTAAAATAATGTTCAGTTTTAGGCCTATTCAGTTTGTATCATGAAGAGACAATTTCGCTAGGTTCAAAATGGTGATGGAGCTTGGCATAGTTTACAAGCCACGTTCATGAATCTAGGCACATACATCACCAAAGGGCAAATCGTGGGAATTAAAAACAAAATTACCACAAAAAAATTGAGTGAGGAGCCTTATCGGTTGTTAAAAATGTATGTACACGTACACGATTCCCACAGACTAGGGCCAAAAAAAATATAGTTCTGCTTCCGATTACATGCCTTTCAAAAATAGGGTCGGTCTGTCGGAATTTTTTTTTTTTTGCCAATTTTTTTTATGCAGATTGAATGGGGTATTCAATTATATGCGAAGTTTTAGCCTGAACTATTTCTATTGCACTACGAAAGCTATACACGAAATGGCAACAAAAAGTGAATAAAACCTACCTTTAATTATTGTCAATATATTTACGTTCGATAATTTCAAAAAATAATGGAAAATTCAGGCCGTTCGCACCATATGCACAACGCTAGTCAAGACTCGAGGAGCTGGCCAAAACTCCGAGGTGTGTAATGCGTGCGTGTGTGGCGAGCGGCCCACCATGGGCCGTCAGAGCTGTTTTTACCGTCAACAATTTCGGGAAACACGTGGCATGTATCACTCCAAATACGAGTAGTGCGATCTCAAAATGAACTCCTGAACACAGAAAATACATACACAGACAAGCTAGATCAATTCTGTAAATAAACTTGCAAAAATGTTCTTTCTCCATCGGTGTTTTCTTGGCATTTTTACGATGTCGAATCCGACCAGTTGACAGTGGCCTGCACTGTACTGGTTACCGCATTTTCATTATGTCTTCTAAATTGGCCCCTGTGCGGCGCGGCGGGAACCAGTCGTCGCCACAAGATTATAGTCACCGTGCGTGACATCGAATTGCGAAGTAGTTTATCGCGAAGCGAATTTGTAATAACGGAGGTTTTTTTGAAAAAAAAGCGAATGTAAGTAAGAAAACAAATAAATACAAGCATTTTTGGATGCAAAAGGGTTGTTGAGAGGTATTTTGTGAAGACAGAAAAGACAGATTTTATTTGTATCTATTCAATTTTTTTTTAATTTTTTTTTTTGGAATTGCCGATAAAATTTTTAGGGTAGCAGCCTAAAAATAGGGTCGGTCGGGTAACCGGAAGCAGAACTATTCTTTTTTTTTGGCCTATTCAATGTGCAAGACCTCAAATAGTCGAGTCAAGTTGATGTAAAATCATTTTTGTTGTTGCAGACGGTCGGCAAGAGCTCCAAGATGTTGCAACACATCAACTTCAGGATGCGGATATCCTTACAAGACGGCCGCACCTTCATCGGCACATTCCTGGCCTTTGACAAACACATGAACCTGGTGCTCGGGGACTGCGAGGAGTTTCGCAAGATCAAGCCCAAGAGCTCCAAGATGCCAGAGAGGGAGGAGAAGAGAGCCCTGGGTCTGGTGCTGCTGAGAGGGGAGAATCTCGTCTCTATGACGGTGGAAGGGCCACCTGTCTCATCGGTGAGTGCAATGATTGAACCTGGCTAACCCAGACTGTAAATGATCAGGAATAGAAAAATCTGGGAAACTAACCATCTGAATACATGGCACAATCTCTTAACACTAACCCTCCTCAATCCTCCAACATCAACCAGTTGCTTCAGAGGATTTTGAAAGAATGGGGTTGTCATTTCATCGGCTGTCAGCTCGCTAACGAGAAAGACGACACCTTAGTCATGTACATGTACATGAATTCAGGTGACGGGAGTAGTATGCCTCTGAATAAAGGGTTGATTTTGGAGAATGTCAAGATCTTAAGTTGTACCATGCTTTCTTAAGTTCAGCCATGCATTGCTGTAGACCTACATAATATTGGATATCATCAGGGCCTAATTTCATGACTCTGCTTTATATTCTGCGCTTACGATCACCATTTTGTGTTAAACGGGCAGACAGAAAAATTCTGTGCTAACCCTGTGAGCACAGAATCCTCAGTTACGGGATGGAAAATCCCTCGCTAACCCATGAAATACACTTGCCATAAACACAGACGTTTCTGCTTTGGTAAGCAGGGGGTTCTCGCTAACAGTAAGCAAAGCCATGAAATTGGGCCCTGTAAAAATGTGTTGGATGATTATGAAGGCAGCGGTCACCCTTCCACTGAAAAATGGAAAAGTGAGCAATATGTACGAGTGAGCAGGCTTTGTAGTGACTCATACCATGGATGATTCTGTCACAGTTTTGCTGTCCCATTTTTAAGGAAGATTTCTCTAGAAATGTTTTCAAAACAGGTTGTGCCATTTGTTAACAGTACTACCCACAATGAACAAATCACGATGCATGGTAACCTATAGAAACATCCAATGGTCCACGGTATTATTGGACCATGCACCACGAAGTTCAGTACATGTTTATTGTGTACATTAGCATGGTTGGCGGTATTGCAGCTAGAGCGTTCGTCAAAACTGTATAAGCATGGTCATAGACAGCGGACCATGCATTGTTTGATTGTATTAAGCCTCCTGCTTTCTGAACAGTCACAGACAGTCAAAAATCAATCCGCTTCCCTGCCATGCCTTTTACACAGACTAGTCACCAACAGTCAGATCATATTTTAAGCAAGCGCTGTGGCTAGTCAAATTCAGTCAACAGACAAAAGCAGGCAAGTGGTAGGCACAGCTGGCATATATCAATCACCTACAGTCAAAGCATTGCAGTATCAAGTTACATTAACAGTCACAGGCTGTCAATCCTGCTTAATGTAGGCTGGGAGCTATTTACTGTTAAAAGACAGTCACTTGATTGATTTGACTGAAAGGACAACTTTGTAAAGAAGGTTTGTTTGCATAGGACAGTTTATCATGGTACATGTACATGGTGCTGACTTTTGTTTTATACATGTACAGCATGGTCAGGAATGATTTGTGTATACGCATGTTATTATATGTGTCATGTAGCCCATTAAATGTTTTCATCACATTTTGCCACGAGTCGCTCATCTTTCGAGAGTGTGGTTTTTTAACCCTAACCCTGCTGAATCCAACAGGATCCAACTACATGTACATCATATTCCCGATGGAGCCTGTTGGATTTTGCGGTAAACCCCTTTTGTTCATTCCTGATTTCAATACGATGGATTCAGCAGGCAACTGAACTGCATTAACCTAACTCCCCAGCCTAATTTACTAGGAACCATACCCATTCAGGCAAATTCCAACACCCACATGGGAAATTGTACACTACACACACACTGTTGGAGTTAGTTTCTGGAGGTATGCCAACCCCAGTGTAAAAGACCAACTGTTTAGGGGAACTGTACCTATCCCAACAGATTGAAACACAAACCTGCTGTTGAACTTTGATGGGTTGTGTTCGGTTAGGGTTAAAACGCCAAGTTGGACTCTATTTCAGTCAGCAGACAACTGAACTGCATTAAAACGTCAAGTTGGACTCTATTGGAGCCAGCAGACAACTGAAAATAAGGCACAGTGGATTGAGCAGGAAACTACCGTTGGACTCTGTTGGATTTAGCAGGGCAGTCCTGAGGAACTACTAGGGGGCTAAATTAATTAATAAAACATACCGGAGGGGGGGGGATGTATAAAATTTGCATTGAACATACGAATCTTAGTTATTAAGCCATAGCAAAAATAAGAGTTCTACATAAAACAGATTGCATATCCAAAGTCTGAAACTAGAAAGTTAATGCAGAACACAAAGTCCACCAGAAAAATGCTGGAAACTATAGAGAGAGAAATGAACACTCGGCACTCCTGGTACGCCTAAGAAGTCAACAAAGCGATGATGCCATCTACAATGGAGATATCAACGTAAACATCGACTGCGAGGTAAGAATATTTCAATAACATCACACCAAGACACAACCCCCGCCCCCTATTTTACCAAGGCGTTTCATTATTTCATCGTAGACCTTTTAGTTCAGATTTTGTTTCGCATGTTATTTTTCTATCACTCGGTGCCTAGGTCTTACACATTCTCATTTCACACAAAATTTTACTAACATAAGTCTCGAACAAAGAGGTTGTGCTATGTGTTAAGACAAAGTCAAAGATTAAGTTAATTTCCCAGATGTTTTATTCACCTTTTATGATGGGGTTATTTATGTAAAATTAAAATGTTATATGTAAGAGTCGGCAAAAAAGTAAGCGGTTTGGCCATGTTCCAGCTCGGAATGGTTTTTGTGTATTAAACCTTAAGCACTTTTATTACATTGTACTTCACCGTATTTAGTCCTTGACTAATTCATAAAACCAGTGTTTAGGCGGTTTGGGGTTGTATAAGTAGTCACTGTAAATATGAAACTAAATAAAGAAATATTCACATTTTTCCAAAAATAAAAGATTTCATTGAAATGTGTATATATTTTTAAAAGTATACTGAAGAATTCATTACATTTCCTGACTAAAACTGTAGCTATAAATACATGTTTATTGAGTTAGTTTTATTATTTCAATTGATAGGATGAAGAGGTTCCGTCTTCAAGTGATGAAAACCCTGGACCTTCCAAGTGGATGTTGGTCGAAGAAAATGAAACTGTAAGTACAAAAAAATGGGGTTTTCTTAATACAAATGAGAATGCTACCACTGTGTGAAATGTTATTGCCAACTTTTTTTTTATCAATTTGATGTTTTATCATTTGTTCATAGATGCGAATTTAAAATTCCTATTTTTGTCTTTTTAAATGACAGGCTGGCGAGGGACAGTCTTCAAGGGAGGAAAATCCTGGACCTTCCAAACAGACGTCACTTCTGGGAGATGAAGCTGTAAGTATAGAAGTTGTGGATTTTGTAAACTTGGTACAAATGTGAATGCTGGCTTGATTGTAAATTTTCCTTTTAACCCGAACCCTGCCAGATGCAACACAGTGCATCTGATGTAAAAGCCTGGTGCACTTTGATGCATTCAGCTACCAACACCAGTGCATAAACGGCCGCTTCTGAGACAATGAGAGCTAGTCCCATTGAACAATGCCACAGTTGTATCCTGCTGCATTCGGTGACCACAGACTCTGAGGCAGTCTGGCCTTGAGACTTTTGGCCTGATAGATCTTGCTACACTGGGCAGGCTTGTCATTTAGGAACAAGTGTTGCATGTTGCTGCATTTAGCAGGGTTTCAACCAACTGGAGGGTAGGGTTAACAAACATGAATACTTATTTTTATGTTTGCAATTTCTTTCGGTAGAACGTTCCATTTTTGTTGTATCATTAAACAGGATTCTGAGGGGCCATCTTCAAGCAAGGAACATCCTGGACCTTCAGAACAGACTCCAGTTCTTGGAGAGGAAGATGTAAGTACAAAATAAACACTTTTTTTAGCACAAGTGAGAATGCTACCTGGATAGTAAATTTTATTGTCTAGCACAAATACTTACACGTTTATCATTGTTTACAGGAGCAAGGTCCTTCGAAGGGATCGCAGACATCAGAAAGCAGAAAGAGGAAAAGCTCAGCCTTAGCAGAGGATGAAGTGGTAAGAAACATGCACTGTATTCACATAATGTGTCCTGTAATAAACGAATGAATTTTCAATTTCCCAAGTGTCAATTGTTTTCAGTCATTTGCCAAATGTAGGCCGGGAATGGGAAAATACTCCCAACTATACTCCCAAGGTAATTTTTGTTTTCAATCTATTGTTGCTTGAAGGTAAAACAAAGGCCAGTGAAAAAGACTGCTGGAGAAATGGGAGATGCAACTTCAGGGGCTGAAGAACAGGTAAAGAGTCTTTCTATATATCATATTAAGTCTCAGTTTCAGAAGTATTAAATGATCAACCCTGTTTAATTTCATTTTGATAAAGTAATAGTATCTTGGGTATTAGAAGTAGTTGTATAAGTGATTTGTTGAGGGTACATAAACTACCCGCCCAATATCTACCAAGGGTCCCCTCAGCTCCGCAGTATCTCCCCTGACCCCTTCCCCACCTCCCTACCCTATCCCCTTCCCATCCTACAGCTTCAAATGAATGAATTATGATTAACACAAGCTTCTTACTCCCATACATGTGAAATACAGATCGTAGATGTGATCATGGATGAGCCAGCACAAGATTCACAAGATCAAGAAGACGAGGATGACATTGATTTTGAGTACATCATGCCACAGGGCCATACTTTGAGAAGCTTGCAAGAAAAGGCTGCTGCTACTTTTGAGAAGCTCCAAAAGGAACTCGACAAGATAAAGGAAAGTGCAAAGAAAACTGTCGAAATATCAGATGTACCTGATGAACCTGAAGCACCCTTGTCTCCTTCAAGGAACGACGTGGACAGTGGTGCATCAGTGGCCTTCCCTGCGCAATCACTAGTGCCTCCAAACCTAACAGGAGGCCAAACGATGGATGATGTCATGGACAGATTGGAAACCATCACCAACAAAGATGGAGAGCAACAGCTGGTGGTTAGACAGGAGGTGCTGCAGCCCCTGGCAACCCTTGTTCCTGATCACAAGAAGATTGGCAGGGAGCTGGGGAACATGTTGTTCCTTGATCAAGAGCGATTGAAGTCAAATTGTCGGGGAGTGAGAGGAATGGACAGACTAGATCCAAAACGATTGAATGCCATGAAGAGAGCAGTGTTAAAGTTATGCCCTGGGAATAGCGAAGAGCAAGACCAGAGGTGGAAGGCCGTCAAAGAAGCTGTGGATGCATCCAGTCGTCACGTTAGAAGGAAGGCTAAAGACTATTTGACTGTTGAAACAGGCAGGTTTGAACCTGGTGCTCCCCTGCCTCTGTCAAGGGATAACGTAACCAACGATGCACCACTGGCTTTCCAGTCATCTACACTGGTGCCGCCAGCATCCCAACCACTACCAACTCCCATCTCCATTTCAGTCTCTACTCTTGACACCATGCCCCAAGCTTCAACTCCAACGCTGCCTCCTTGTTTGAGACAGATGACAACTCCGATGCCTCATACTCAAACAGCACCTCATGTACCCCTGACACTGCACTCGGAACAAACAATACGCATTGACGTACTCGAGAGGGAAGTGGCCATTTTGAAGGAAGCCATCCCCCTCCAAGATGAGAAATACCAACGATTAATGTCCATATACATGAGAAACTACACATACCTGACCAAAAGCCAAACGATGGCTGACATCATGGACAAATTGGAAACCATCACCGATGAAGACGGAGAGCAACAACTGGTGGTCAGACGGGAGGTGCTGCATCACATGACAGCCCTCGTTCCTGATCATAAGAAGATTGGCAGGGAGCTGGCCAACGTTCTGTTCCTGGCTGAAGAGCGATTGAAGTCAAATTGTCGGGGAGTGAGGGGAATGGACAGGCTAGATCCAAAACGATTGAGTGCCATGAAGAGAGCAGTGTTACAGTTATGCCCCGGGAACAGCGAAGAGCAAGACCAGAGGTGGAAGGAAGTCATAGAAGCTGTGGATGCATACAGTCGTCACGTTAGAAAGAAGGCTAAAGACAACATGACTGTTGAATCGGGCAGGTTTGAACCTGGGGCTCCCCTGCCTCCGTCAAGGGATAGTGTTACCAACGATGAACCTAGTGCTCCCCTAGAAAGCAATACCAAAGACAGTGATTTTTCAGGGGCCTTCCAGTTATCATCATTACTGCCTCCAGTATCCCAGCCACATCCCTACCCTGTCTCCATCGCAGCGTCTACCTCATTTTCAACAATGGCTCCTTTGCCAACGCCAACACTTTCTCGGCTGTCTCCAACTCTGATGACACCACTTATTATTCCCACATTTCCCTCTGACCAACTGACACGGATTTCAGCACTGGAAAAGGATGTCGCCGGTCTGAAGCAGGCTGTGGCCCTCCAAAGTGGGAAATATCAACATCTGCTCTCCTTATATGTGAGCTCTAACTCCAGCGGAACAAAAAGCGAAACCATGGAAGACGTCATGGACAAATTGGAGACCATCACCGATGAAAATGGAGTACAGCAGCTGGTGGTCAAACAGGAGGTGCTGCTGCCCCTGAGAGCCTTTGCTCCCGACCATAAGAAGATTGCCAGGGAACTAGGCCACATGTTGTTCCTTGACGAGGAACGAATGGCGTCCAATTGTCGGGGGGTTAGAGGATTGAGCAAACTACATCCAGAGAGGTTGGGTGCTCTTAAAAGGGCGGTGCTTGAACTGTGCCCGGGGAACAGTCAGCACAGAGATCAGATGTGGAAGGATATCAAAGAGGCAGTGGATTCATACAGTCGTCATGTCAGGAAAAGGATCAAGGACAAAATGACTTGAAATAGCGAACCAAGACAAAGGTTAGGTAACATCCCCTGGGTAAGCACCTGTCGGCTCCACCTACCTGTCCTGCCCCTGTCTGTCCTGGCCCTCCTATCCTGCCCCTCCTATGAAAAAAAAATTGTGTAAAACTGACAAGTGAGTTTGTTTAAATTGCAACAACCTAAAACAGCCTACAGAAATTGCAGCATTTAATTATTAAATCCTTAGATATACAAGTTTCTTTACACAAGGTTAAGCAATGAATGTTTCTTTCCAATTACGGAAGATCATAGACACAACATCCATGTGTAATGAACATTATGTATTGCCATGATAACATCCAATTTCAATTTATTTGAAATGTATTAAAGTTTGATTAAAAGTATCAGAAACCCATATTTTATAGTGCAATAATCCAAGAGAATTTTGAGGAATTCCATTTGGAATTGAAGAAGCGACCCAGATAGGTCGTGAACCTGTTCAGTAAGTTTAAGTTCAGTTGTCTTGTTTCAACAATCAAATTTACAATGAAAATCTCCATCCATCCAGTTCGTTTTTGTATAAGGTCTTTATTTTTCACTACATCTCTATAGACTTACATTTTTTTAATATCACAAAGTGTTGACATCTTCCAGCATTTCTTTTTTGCCATGAGTTTTTTTTTTTATATTCTCTCCATGTTATGAGAGATAGCCTATCACATAGCTGTTGCATGTGTGATGGATTTTAAAACCAAATGAAACTTGAAGAGAGACATGCATGTATTTAGTTCAGGTTCATGCATGCATGAAGATTTGTTTCATAATGTAAATGTATACATGTAGAGTTTGCAATCAAAGAAAAGCTGTGAACTGAAGTACTATATTTGACAATTACATGTATTAGGCAAAAATACCAAAATTGAAGAAAAAAAATATTTAGAAAGACTTTGTTATTGGAATACACTGTATACACATCATTTGCAAACATTAAAAAACAAAACTACCAAATTATTATGAAATACATGTACCTTACTGGACTGTTAGTGAATGACAGTCTAAAGCATCCTGTAAAATCATGGCACCTAGTGTGCTGTCATTTTCAAGAAAAGTTATATTTTTGTATAAATCCTGATTATAAAATATCAAATAATTCTTCACATTGATTCTTGAGGTTTCTAGATTTTGACTGATAGCATTCCTCCAGGGTACACCTTCTTAAATAAGTCAACATTAGGGGATCATTAAATGTTATTCATGTAGTTACATGTACATGTACTTTGTGACTTAATCAAAAATGTCTGTCCTTCGTTTACGTAACACTTGTAAAACAACATCCACTAAATTTTCTAAAATACAAAACCAGTTACATGTACATGTATATCATTTGCAGGTGAGGATATTTGTTCTAAGCTTGCTATGTTTACAGCAAAAATTGAGAGGCAAGATCGTAGTTTTATCAAACGTAAAGGTCTTCTCAAATGTCGCACTTTTGGGCCCATTAGTGTGGAATTGCACATGTACATGTACATCTGTAAAAAAAAATCTTGCATTTGCTGCATGCGGTCGTGGGTGACCCAAGATGGCGTACAGCTGCTTCAATGCATTGGCATTATCAGCCTGTCCAGTTCAGTGTGTATCCTAAATATTTTTGAACGTAAAGGTCCCATAGCCATTACTGGCTGTAGGGGCAGTGGGATTTTAGAGGTCCACTGTGTCTTGGGCGCAGCATATGAGTGGCGGGGCCCAGTCCTCTCCTCTCGCCGTCTTACCTTCCCTGAATGAATCGGGTACCCATTTTTTTCACTCTTGGATCGTCAGAGAGAGTTTTTAGGTTTTGGTCCGAATGGGATTCGAACTGCCAACCTTCCACTCTGTATCTCCACGCTCTAACCACTCGGCTATACAAGGCCCCTTTTGAAGCACCTGTGTAAATGTCATTCTGTTGGAACGTTTGTTAGTTCATAATTTTAAGTTACGCCTATATTGTTAAGATGTACTTCATTATTGGTTTATATAGCTCTTTTTTAATGAATACTTTGTTACGTAAATTCTCATGTTTTATTTAATTAAATGATAATTCTTGAATGAAGGATGTCTCATAAATTCAATTGTTTTCATGGTACTGTTTGAGCACCAGTTTAATCCTATGCAAACATGCATTCTGTGGCAAGTTGTCCTTGCAATCAAGTGACTGTTTTCAACAGTTATAAATGTCCAGCCCACATACATTGTAAAGCAGGATTGACTGGCTGTGACTGCCCGTGTAACTTGAAACAGCTTTGCTTTGACTGTGGGTAATTGATAAGCCAGCTTGCCTGCTTTGTCTGTTCGTGGTCTGTTGACTGAGTTTGACTAGTCACAGTGCTTGCTTGACATATGATCTGATCACTGGTGACTAGCCTGTGTTAAAAGCATAGCAGGGGAAGTGGATGGAAATGTTGACTGTCTGTGACTGTTTAAATAGCAGGAGGGTTGAATCAGTATTTCAAATTCCAAAATTCACACTACACCCGCCCAGCTGCATTTTGCGCGACATCGCGCATTACACACGACGCGCACGCCAATGTCCTTATAAGGTAAGGAATTGTAGAGGGACATTCCATGTTATAGTCAGAGGGGTGTTTGATACAAAATGAAGTAACAAAATGGTTAGCAATGTCTGGCTTTTGACTTGTTTTGATTTTTAGAAGGAAAATATTTTTTTTACCGAAAAGGTATTTATGAATGGGAATAAATATGTGTTCGGTCGGTATTAAACACTCTGTTTAAGACCAGTTACATTAGTGAATGGAAAGGTTTATGGCAAAAGGATGAGGACTTTGCCATGCAACGTGATTTGTTTACTGTTGGCCCTACTCCCCTAAGCTCTTTGGTAAAGAACCTTCCTGCATCCTCCAAACAAGTAGGAGGTCCTGTCCAAATTATCTGGCAATAGCCAGCAGTAATTACCCCTAACCCTGCGGAATCCAACAGGATCCAACTATGTCACATACATGTACCCGATAGAGCCTGTTGGATTGAGCAGTTAACCCCCTGTGTACATTCCTCATGCAAAATGTTGGATTCAGCAGGCAACTGAACCGCATTATAACGCATTGTTGGACTCCGTTGGATTCAGCAGACAACTGACAATGAGGCACAGTGGATTGAACAAGAAAGTCCGGTTGGACTCTGTTGGATTTAGCAGCCCTGAGGAAGTACTAGGGGTTAGGTTAGGATTTGTTGAGCTTGATTGTACCGGTACCTGATGATATCTAATTTTGGTGTTTTTTGCATTTTAGGGACCACGTGTACCCTTGCCCGGTGTTGGCGGTGGCCCCGGTATGGGACGTGCAGCAGGCAGGGGAATCCCAGCACATGCTGCAGCAGCTGCAGCAGCACCAGCAGGTCTAGCTGGTCCAGTCAGAGGAGTTGGAGGTCCATCACAACAGGTCATGGCTCCACAGATAGGTATGTCAGAAAGGAGGGGGGGGGGGGAAATCGGTCTTGGTTTTCTGGTTTCTACCACTTTAAGTTTTTAAGTTTGTTAAGTTTAATGTCAATACCTTCCGCATGAATTTTATTCAAACCTGATAAGTCGGTATTCAAAATGGATTGTTTTGGAGGATGTGCATATACGTATCAGAGAAGTAACTTAGCCTATCCCTTGGAGTGTGTGGCTGTCAACCCTGTAATTATGTCAATGCAGTAAAGGTGGGGCAAGGTAAAAATTGAAATGTTTTGGAAGGTGGTAGTAGACAAAGGGTTAAAGACAATTTGTTGCAATGTGTCAGTTTATCTTCCTCTGTTGTGCATTGAGGTTTAGGGCATTGCTATGATGTAGACCTGTGTTCTGGAACCAAGTACCCAACCAACTTGCTGCGGCATGGGGTACCAAATTCTATTTTATCAGTTCATGCATGTAACTTTCCTCGGATCAGCTGATTTCCTCGTTTTTTACTTCTCCTGAATGCCATTACAAATTGAAAAACACTGTACATACATTTACAAAGTCTTGCAGGGTTTGGAGTTTCCTCGTTTTTTTCTAAATTCCCGATTGCATGCCTGTCAGTTCTATTATCCAAACTCGAGTCAGTTCCTGTTTTGGAACAAAGCCAACCTTAAACCCTGTGATTGATTTGTAGTTTGGACATCAAAAAGTGATGACATTCGGTACACATTTCCCAAATGACCGTTCAACACACATTACTTAGTTAATAAAATACAAAGTCATGTTTGTGACATTAATGTGAGAACTTCATGTACATGTATATGTTGGTAAACCAAATTCCAGCTTTGGCACATTAAAGGAGAAAGTATATTAGTTTGTAGGATACAGACTTTTTGTTATGTGTGCCTGCATGATTACTTTCAATGTGTTATCATGTTTGCAGGTGCGCCACCTCAACAGTACCCTGGTGGAAGGGGAATGCCGACCAGACCTCCTATGGGTAAGTTGATGCCAAGTTTGAGTGGCACGTGTAATTGGCCCCACAGTTTAATTTTACTTTTCTGTGTGAAATTTCTCAAATCCAGCATGTATATTTGTGAAAACTGAGTCATGGTATCCAGAAACTCGCTCATTCATAAATTCATTTACCTGCCAAAATACTACTCTTTGCTAATAAGTGCGTAAGTGTTGATTTGAGTCTTCTTGTACATGTTCCATTTTTAGACATAATAGGGGGTCATGTGCAGATTGTTCTAAAATTGACCCTTTTTTTTCAATTAAATGTTGAGTGTTTGAAACTTGTCATGTAAAAGGGCCATGACATGAATTTTAATTGGGAACATAATTTGTGCAACTTTCTACTCTTAAAATATATGAAAACAATTTGACATCCCTTTTGGTTAATTGTATTGAAAAGTGCACTTCTTTAAACATTAAAAAATGTCATGCTTTTCCTGACAAATGAGAGCGCTGCTGCTGTGATGTCATTTCAGGAAGACACTGTTCACTTTAAGGGTTTTCTGTTCAAATTGGGAACCCCAAATTTACTAATTGAAAACATTTGTGAGAAAATTGTGCTCGTTGGCCTACTGTCTTGTATTGAAACAACGCATCCCCCAAAAAAGAACATTTACGGCAGCAAAATATCCAAATTTCCGGCAAACTTTGGTGCTGAAATGGCTGCAACATTGAGGTTTCTGCCTGAAATCACACTTTGCTCATGAATATGCAATTTTCATTAGCATAAAACCAAAAATGGTACCTAAATGCCCTCAACAATGGCAAAATGAAAATTGAAAATGAGGTTAAATAGGACACAAAGGTGCATTTTCAAGGATAGCATTTAAAAAAAAATTACATTACATGGGCCCTTTCAAGGGCTCTCTCCCTATTTTTGCCACCTTGAACTGATCTGATTATGTGAAAAAAACTGCTCGGACATTTGGACTCTGTAGCCAACTTGGCCTTTAAAACCTAGACACACAGACACCTTTTTTCCCTGTCCAAATAACATGTTTTCCTTGCCATTCCGTACTCAGGTAGAGGAATGCCACCCGGCATGATGCCGCCCGGAATGAGACCCGGAATGCCTCCACTCATGGGCAGAGGAATGCCTCCACCAGGCATGGGAATGAGACCACCCATGGGAATGAGAGGTAAGGGCCAATTAGCAGTAAGGCGTCTTTAACCCTAACCCCCTTGAGTGATTTACTAGGAACCTTCCTCACTCTTGCAAAATCCAACAAAGCAGGGTTGTGACTTGAGATTTGGCAGTAAACTGGTTTTTGGTTACCCATAAAAGTTATATATAACAAAAGAAGTGGGTATTTTAAGGGCTGCCTGAATGCTAATTACAAACATATACCATAGACCCTACGTTGCTCTGGGGCCGTCGGCGACCCTCACGCCCTCTGGTGAAAGTTTTGTGGATTTTTCATTTTACCCCAATCTCACCCCTGAACAAAGTCAACACTCAGACTTAGCAATAAGTACCAGCGGTATTTTCCCTTACCATGCTTACCAGTTGGAGAAATCCAATGCCAATCCATTTTGTTCTAAAATTTGAAACACAGTAGGCAGGAATCAGTATGGAATTTAGAGCAGTCCTTCATTAAAGGAAAATCCAGGAGAGCTATGCATCACTCTTCTCAAATCTCTGAGGAGGTTATCGCCTCTTCCTGTCATTGCATTGAAGTTTTTAATTACATTCTAACTAAATAAATCACACTAAATAAATCAGTGGGGTTGGTGCGGGCTTAACGCAGGGTTGAAAACGTGCAATATTTCACACTTGAAAGTGTTCAACCCTGTGCCAAATTTTGCCCTGGGTTGAATTCAACCCTTCTCCAGACCAGGGTTGAAGTTTTTAACCCTGGTTGAAAGTCTCGCCTGGGTTCGAGACAGTAGTAGTAGCCGAGCTAAATAAGCTTGGTTTGCACTTATCAAGTGTGAAACAACACAGGGTTGAATGCGGGGTTGAAAAATTAATCGGACAAGGTTCGCCCAGGTTGAGAGGCTCTAGTGTGAAAAAAAAGGCCTAATATTGATGGTGATGTGCTACATTTTCACTGCAGAGTGGTTACATGTACTTGTGTCCACAGCCCATAACCATACACTGAACTTCAAAAATCACACCAAGGAGCAGGCTGTGGCTGGAAAATAATACAGTCACATTTAACTTGTTTAATTTTTCCAATACATTTGGGATGATATTTTCTGCTTTGTTTTCTTTTCTCTCCAGGCCCACCCCCACCAGGAATGAGACCGCCACCCAGGAATTAAGCAGGTCGCATCTTCTCCCTGGACCTGTCCGTCGACGATTGCGTCCTTGATACACCGTGTAAAGACTGTACTCCTCCCCTCGTGGTGGCATAGTGCTGCACCAGCAATTGACAGAAGACAGATTTTTGAATTGAAAGTTTTTAAATTGTGAAACGTGCAGGTCAGCCCTCAGTCTCGTCCCTCCGCACTAACTCTCTTGGCCAAGGTTTGGGGGAATGTACATGTATAATGAAGATGGTGTGGTCCTGTTCTATGCATTACTTGTCCAAATGCTGTCACGGACTGAAAAGTACAGATTGACTTGTTACCTTCAACTTGATGGAGGGATTGGACAACATAATCATGTTGGTTTGTATATATTTCAAGTTCTAGTTTTATGATACGCTTACAGTCCACGGAAAGAATGTTGCAACCTGACGGCACTTTTTTCTTCATTTATCATCTCAATGACAGTCAGTCATTGTAAAAAATGATGACAAGACATGAATCTGGGACTGAGCAACATTTCCAATTTTGTTAGGAAATACTTTGCACATTTTCTTGACTCTCTGTAGACTTTGTACACAACTGCTGAATTGGCGTCAGATTGTAACATTCTCTCCCAGTCCACTTGCACCTGACATCACAATTGTGCTTAAAATTTAGAAATAAGCTCTAAATCTTTAAATTCCTTTTCACCTGTTCATACATGTGCTGGCTTTTGCTGAAAAGTTTTTTAAGTTCATGTTGTTTAAAGTAGAGATTCTTCATTTTGTAAATGTTTTAATACTAAGGGGTTTATTTTTAATAAACAGGCATTTTTTTAACACGTTGCTTCTTACAAGTGTGGAATGCGGTTGGGAATGTCAGTGTGTCACATTCTAGTAAATATTCAATTCTCTCACTAAGGCTCCCAGTTTCGCTTGAAACCAATAATTGTTTTAAAGCCATACAAAGTTGACAACGGGACTGTTTTCCAGCACATGCGTGTTATGATGGAATCCTCCATATAAATGTACATGGCAGTATTTTCTACTTACTAAAAATTGGGGCCCAGTACAACTTCACTGGCTACCGTAATGGTTCATTTTTTTCCCAGTGTGTATGTATTTATAAATTCGTGTTAGTTAAAATATAATTTTTGATGCGATCAAGCTACATGAGTCGTTTGTCGGGAATTTTCATTTGGAGATACAGGCCAAAATAGGATCACTTCATCACATCACTTTAACACATCTTTTGGTGTTCCGACTTCCATAATTTTTGAACTTAAGATGGTATCAGCATGCGGTTTTCACAGCAGTAATGCAAGATTGTGCTCTTTTCAAATCTGTTATAAACCAAATTTTGACCGGGGTCGACAAACGACTCATTTAGCTTGATCGCATCACATTTGCCATGCATACCAAAGTCACAGTTGAATTTCTTTTTGTGAAAAAGTCAGACCTGCTTAAATTTTGTTTTCCCCCAGGAAATTGTTCGAAAGACAGATTGATATACGATGTACAAAAGTTGCGATATTGGTTGTAGGTTGTCGATAAATCTCCATGTAACATTCCTTAACATGCTTAAGCATACTTAAAATTTGGGTGTGGTGGGCGAAACAACCCTGATGTGACAAGTCTGCAGGACTAACGGGTAATGGGTATATTTTGAGGAACAACTATTCCTCAAAACATACCCACTAAGCTACCTGGCACTAAATTGTATGTGATTATGAAAGGACAGTTTCTGATTGCTTTTTTGTAACAAGTTTATTTTTAGTATTCCCAGGATCTGTAGATGGACTCTCAATAAGTATGATGTAAAATAAAATTTTGAGTACTGAAACAAGAAGCTTGTGTGGTTAATGGAATCGGGTTTATAACTTTAATAATTTTCCCCGCTGTTTGAGTAATTCGGCTTGGTACGTTGTTATTGACGAAACCACCGACATTTTGATAAAACCATTTGTGTTCAGGCTGCTATTTAAAAACAAAAAACGGTATGTTGACGTATGTAAAACATTGAAATGTTAAAGTATGAACTCATGAAAAAAAAGTTCTTAAATGTATCAAAACTTGAAACTTTTATACATGTTCCAAAATGTGCTGATGGCCATTTGAGTTATAGTGATCTGTGTGTATTGTACTATACACACAGATCCCCCCCCCCCCCCCCCCACTGCTGTGACACCCCAAAAAAATTATACTGGTATAATGCCTGCCTGTTCAAAATACGGTACACCATTATGTAAATCTAGTGTTAATAATCATCGAATTTAAACAGCGCCCCCATTGAATATGGTACAGCCCCCCCCCCCCCCCCCCCCCCCCGCGAAAATTCCTGGATCCGCCCCTGATAATAAGGGCATGATATTAGTTACCCAGAATGCCATCCCCACAAGATTCCGTGAACTTGCTCATCAGCCCTTCCCAGCCCAGTACCCTAGGCCCTGTTTGCAATGAGTCTGGGTGGCCGGAGGGGGGGGGGGGGGGGGGGGGGGGGGGGTACGAGAGCGAAGTGTGCCCCATACGTAAAATAAAGATGGACATCATGAACAGCGTCCACTAGTGTAATGTGGTATCGTGGTTAATGTTATTTTCGTCTACCGTTTTTATGTTTTGGGGTTTGTTTTTTTAATTAAGGATCGAAGAACGTACTGTTTGCCATATTTTTCATTCAGTAAAACAATGATATATTACAGGCTGGAGAATGATTGTTGGGCTTGGGAACAGCAAACGCTGATTGCCGCTGGCGGTTTTGGAGCGGTAGACCGCCGGTGGTATGCCGCTGACTGCCGCTGACTGCCGCTGGTGGTCCGTTGACGGGTTTTTAGCGGCAGGCCACTGGTGCTATGCCGCTGATAGCCGCTGATTGCCGCTAGCGGCTTTGGAGCTGCAGGCCACTGGAGGCATGCCACTAGCCTACCACTAGGCGGACCGCTGATAGTTTGGATCGGCGTGCCGATACGCCAACAAGCCGCACCCCGCGGTCACCGGTGGTCCGTCCGGTGGTGGCTTGCGGACTGGGGACTCCGACTACTTTTCTACACCCATAAAAAATATATCATTCTTATAACAATAACATAGTCCGCCAATCCGCAACAGTCGGATATAAACATCTGACGGGCCTGGACCCCCCCCCCCCCGCAAAAATTCGTAGATCCTCCCCTGTACGCACCTGATGTTCTTTTTTTTTAAAAACCTACGGTGTTCATTGTTGCGTATATTTACGATAAGTATGTTTTATCACACGTATCGGCCTACGACTAACGATACGGCCGTATTCAATTTTCCAAAAAGTAAAATGTTGACTAGTTTTCGTCCATCGAGCCAAAACAGATGCACACAGCAATTTTCCACGTTTCTCCGCCTATTAAGACAAATTGTTTTTAACAAGAATTCAAAGGAAGCAGTATGGCCTAGCGGTTAGATCCTTATCCGCGAATCGCAGAGCCCGGGTTCGAATCCCGCCGGTGTCATTTTACCTTTCAACGCACGCATTCACTCAATATAAGATGTTTTATTTCCCGTCGTAAAATACCAACTGTACCTTAGCTTAATCGGTAAGCACTGCGGCTGGTACTGTCCGTGAGTTCCAGGTTGGCGCCTTCGTACAGGTTCAGGGCATGTGGTCCACTCGGAGGATCAGGGCTTAGGGGCCGCCCTGTTCCTCCCTTAGCTCTTTGCTTTTACATGGTGCCTGGCCCTCCGGGGTTATATGGATGGACAGGGAAGGAAGTGTGTATTGGTCGGGGACGCCGAGACCCTGGAAGAGAACTAAGGGATCGGCTGGGGCATTGTTATGGCTCAGACCGATCCCTGAAAGCTTGACTAGCACATAACTTTTTGATTTGTTTTACCCTCTATCTTTTATACTTTGGTTTAGTTTGGTATCTACAGCTGCTCGGCAGGTCTACGGGTAGTATCAAAATTGAAACAAAGGTGTATGTCATAAATCAATGAATATTTCATGATTTATTTCATGATTGGCTGGGGCATTGTTATGGCTCAGACCGATCCCTGAATGCTTGGCTAACACATAACTTTTTGATTTTTTTATCCTTTTTTTTCTCAAAACTTTGGTTTAGTTGGATATTTACATCTGCTCGGCAGGTCTCCGGTAGTATTAAAAACGATTCAAAGGTCTATGTCGCGAATCAATGAATATTAAATAATTGATTATAATCAAAATTAAGTTCCGTTCGATCAATATAACTATACCTTAAATTTTATGTCAATTGCAAATTGCGCCAATAATAAACTATTATTGCTGCAATTTCCAACTGATGTAAGAAACGCCATGTACAATATTATACCGGAAACAAAATAACGATGCATATTATTACAATGTTTATGACAGAACGGGGGGGGGGGGGGGGGGGAGTAGACCCCCCCCCCCCCCCCGCCCCCACTGGATCAGTGGCGCAACCAGCATTCGGCGGGGGGGGGGGGGCTCAAAATTTGTTTCCAAATTGTGTACAAATTCCAAAAATAAATGCCAAAAACTTTGGCCGCAAAAAAATGTTTTTTTTTTAATGCTTGACATCGAAATGAAATTAAATTGAATTTTCGAATGAAGAGCTAGACGCTCCGATCCTAATTCGTTTTGAATAGTGTGCGCAATTTCAGAACTGGAGCGCGCAATTTAAAACCAACTTTTAGAAATGTGTAAAGGCCTTCAAACTGGCTTGATATTTTTGTTCCTCCTTTTCCGATATTTTAGCGACTATTTTACCCAGTAGCGCACCCAGGATTTGCCTGAGGTGGTGGTGGTGGGGGGGGGGGGGGGGGGGTGCTTACAATTTTGTTTTTTTCATCCGAATCCATTACTAACACATTGTCGTAAAAGTTGGTATCTGAAAATTTCTATCATGCAAAACCCCTTTCACCGGGTGTTTGTGTAGAAAATATCAGACGGTTATTTATTACTCCCCACCACGTTCAATTACCTTCGGCAGCGACCGCAAGCCCCATTTGAAAGAAAAGGTTAAGACCGGATCAAGGTACCAACTTTTACAACAACATTCTGGTAATGTTTGCTAAAAAAAAACAGCAAGGTTTACCCCTTGCAATTAGATTTTTCATAAAAATCTGATTTTGCCCAATTTTGCTAAAAATGCAAGGTTAACCCCTTACAATCTGCAATTTTCCAGAAGCATCTAATTTTGCCCAATTGCTAAACACAATGCAAGGTAAACCCTTACAATTTGAATTTTTTTATAAACATCTCATTCTGCCCAATTTTACTAAAAAATCAAGGTTAATCCCTTTCATCTGAAATTTTTCAGAAACATCTGATTTTGCCCAATTTTGCTAAAATATGCAAGGTTCATCTCTTACAATTTGAAATTTTCATCAATCTCTAATTTTGCCCAATTTTATTAAAAAAGCGAGGATAATCCCTTACATCTGAAATTTTTCAGAAACATCTGATTTTGCTCCACTTTGCTTAAAATGCAAGGTTAACCCCTTACAATCTGAAATTTTCCAGAACATCTGATTTTGCCCTATTTTGCAAAAAAATGCAAGGTTCACCCCTTACTCATCAACATTTAATTTTGAATAATTTTACTTAAAAAGCAAGGTTAACCCCTTACATTTGGAATTTTTCAGCAACATCTGAATTTTGCCCAATTTTAGTTAAACATGTACCAAAGATTGCTAAAAAAGCAAGGTTAACCCCTTCCAATTTAAGGTTTTTCAAAGAAATCTGATTTTGCCCAATTTTGCTAAAAAAGCAGGGTTAACCCCTTACAATCTGAAATTTTTCATAAACATCTAATTTTGCCAAATTTTATTCAAAAAGCAGAGTTAAGCCCTTACAATCTTAAATTTTTCAGAAACATCTGATTTTGCCCACTTTGCTAAAAATGCAAGGTTAACCCCTTACAATTTGAAATTTTCATAAACATCTAATTTTTTACCTATTCTGGCAAGGTTAACCCCTCACAATTTTAGATTTTTCATAAAAAACTGAGTTTGCCAAATTTTGCTAAAAATGCAAGGATAAACCCTTACAATCGGCAAATTTCCATAAAAATCTGATTTCGAACCAATCTTCCTAAAAAGCAAGGTTAACCCCTTGCAATCTGAAATTTTCCATAAAAATCTGATTTTGCCCAACTTTGCTTAAAAAGCAAGGTTAACCCCTTACAAT